GTTAAGGCATTACTTTCATTAATCATTGATCATATCGATGTATTGCTAGTCATACTATACAACAACCTTGATAGGATATAAATGCATACGGTTTGGTTACTTGAATTGTAAAAATAAAACAAAACATAAATTAAAGAAGTAAAATTTATGTTGTTTTCTTCAAGTTCTATAACCTTCAATATAGGATTCGAAAAAACTTTTTGATTCATTTTTCTTAGTGGGTTTAGGATCTCATTTTCTAACATGCATTAACCTTAAGTTATCTCAACAAGTCATACATGAAGAATTAGGTAGGTAACTCTTTACTAATTGCATCCAATGTAATTCCTAATTTTATTGACATGGTAACTCCTTATCATCTCACATTTTATGTGAATACCAATTTTTGCCTATAAATTTATTAGACCTTGAGCTATTTCAATAAATCCAATAATTCATTTCAAGTTAGACCTAAACATTCGGGGTCATCGCATGGCCCATGATTTGATTTTCTTGAGAAAGAAGTGGCCTTGAGTTATCTCAACAAGCCAACAATGAAAAAGAGAGTTCTCTCCTTAATTTAAAGGATTTAATATGGTAAGTCTCATCCTAACATGCATACTAGTCATCAATCACATTAATCGTATCTTGCATACTAACAATCATAAAACAAAAACATACATCTCATGTATGACTCAAAGACCGATGAATCATAATGGATCTCTACTACTAGCCTTCTCGATCCACAAGAAGACTAGTGGATCAAATACCTTGATGAAAAATTATTACAAAATCTTTAAGATTGTCTTCACTTTTGTGGTATCTATTTTAATATCCTATCTTCTATTTTTACATTTATTTGAATAAGAAACCTTGAGTTACATTTGAGGAGAGTAAGATGAGAAGAGAAATACAATAGAATGATAGAGAATGTAGGACACGTAGGCCCTATTTATTAAAAAATTACAAACGAGTCATTTTCATAAACTAAGTCGACTCATCCATACCATTCACCCATACTTCAATCATATTAATAATTGGCATACTAATGAAACATATTTAATTATAATTATAATTATAAATCTATGTTTTAGTTATTTTATAAATTATTAAAATTTTTCTAAATTTAAATTTTAAGATTTTTTTAGCCTTTGTCCCATAGGTCGCCTTGCCCTAGCCATCGGCTTAGCACGCTCACTCACGCATGGCTTGCTCGCTTGGTTTACATGCATGTTTAACCTATGTAGGCCTCGCCCATTAGCGCACCTAGTGAGCACTTGACATACGTAATGCATGTCTTGCCCTAGCCTTTAGGCTTGGCGGTTGCTCAATGCTTGACTATCATGTCACATACCCGACTCATAATTGGCTTGCCCAATAGGCTCGGCATGTGCAAGGCATGATTGGCATGTTGTGTGCATTACGTGTGAATAGCCTTGGCCGAAGGCTTGAACCGTACAAGACACGTCTAGCCTATCGCGCCCCTAACGTACGACCGACTCGGCTTGGAGGCCTAGCATGCGTCGATCACACCCGAGTTGTCATATACCCGGAATGTTGATTGGCCTCGCCTCCGTTTGGCCTATCGTGCACCTAGTATGTGATTGACATGCTAAGAGGCCCGGTGTGCTCTAAGCATGCTTGGTCCGTTGAGCATCAACGTCTAATGTTGGCCTCGAGCGATCTACTCTTTTGAAGCCCAAAAATCAATTTAAAAACATATATAAAATATCAAAATATCAAATTTACAATCAAGAATTAATAATTTATGCGGTTAATCATAATTAACAAAGCATATAATTAAAAATTCAATTGAGGCTCGATACCAATTGAAGGATAATGCATCCTATAAAACTACGAAATAAAACATAAATATTTCCTCCATCTAAGACTCCTAAGATCAAGCTATTGAATTAACTAATTATACATACATGAATTAAACACAAGTAAATGTAGCAAAGATTTTAATCTTTATATAAAAAGAGCCATCTAAGTGTTTAGCCTTTATCGATAATCTACACGATCTAAGAATCCACACAAAAAACGCTCGAAGTTGTAAAGTGCTAGCTCTATCTTTTCTCGACTTGTTTAATATTCTCTTTTAGAAATATATTCGGAGATATTTTACAACAACCTTAAGAAAGAGGGAGGGAGGTGACGTTCGTATAGGAGGGAGAAAACTATTTTCTCCTAGTTTTTTCTTTTTGTCATGTATGCCCTACTATTTTTCCTCTTTGATTCACCTCCCCTTCTATTTATAGGGAAAATGTCTTCCTTGTCCTCTAAGGATAAGGAAGTGGTAGCATTAAGTTTCAAAAATGACCATTGGTTGTTACTTCCTAATCCTCTAAGGATTAAGAGTTGTAATGCATGTGGGCTCTTGATCTTATCATATTAAAACTTAATCCTTATCCAATAACGTTCATATTTATCCTCCCATCAAAATATCTTACAGTGCTTTTAAATTAAACCTATTGACCTAAACTCTTTTGGCCTAATTAATTACTAATTAATTCGGATTATTAAAATAAATTAGGTTACATATTTTTAGGAGGCTCACATTAGAAAATAATTTCTCAAATTACCCTTAAACTTAAATTAGGAAACTAATATCCTTTTTAGGTAACTTACTTCTAAATTTAGAACCGACTTCCAAAATAGAAAACTTTCCATTCATGAAAACTTTTTCCAAAATTAGAAACATTTTCCAAAATTTTTTCTTTTCTTTTATTATGTGAATGCTTAAACTTATACGTGTGACTTAATAGACTCCTAGATATGTTATAATATATCAAGAATAAAAGACACTTCTTTTATTTCTTGATACATAAATCAAGATTGGCATCTAGTAAGGCATCATGACTACCTAATTCTCTATGGAGGATTAATTAATGTAAAATTACCTTTCACGAGTATAGTTACCATACAATTCGGTCTTCATATCAATTTATTATAGTATGATCTCAAACTTGGTTATTAGTCCGTTTGATTATGATCACATAAGTTTTATTCGATTCCCAAATGTCTTAGCTCTTAGAGTAAACCAACTATGCTCTATTGATGTACTCCTACTACGGTCATAGATTTCTTGAGCGTAAATTTATCAAAGTGCAATGTGATAACTCATTTAGCATGTAAGACATGACATATCCTATCTTAGTCATCCATCTATCTTCATTAAATGTCTAGTGCACCCAACAAATCACCCATGTGCAATCCTTTATTGGGGTCCATTGAAACAAATATCAAAGTACATAAATCCTCTAATGAGATAACTATGACAACTTCAAGTAAAAGAACGAGTTGTACCTATCTCATATGAGATTTTCATAGACTAAACTAATGGGTTCTCAAGGCGAGTCAAATCTAGTGATATGTTCTCTAACATTAATCACCTAAGTGCTTACTTTGGCATCACTATGCCAATAGGTGTGAGATCGCCTACTCGCTATCTTATAGCACGAGCATAACATTCACAAGTTTAACCGCATATAGTTAATGTACATTCTTGACAATGTTATGACTTGAGACATTTAATGATATCATTTAAATGCATTAATCTTTGTCTCATATCCTTCGATTAATCATTAATGTAATGCATATTAGATGGACTTCTATCTAATTTTATTCATAAACATAAACAATAAGAATTAATATAAAGAATTTTTTAAAATAAAGAATGCAATATTACAATAATTCAAACTCATCCAAATAAGATTGTATCTAAAACACCTACACTAACACAAAAGAGGATCATCTCTAGTTGGAGTAGCAATTGAATCATCAACAAAATCGAGTCTTGTTGTGAATTGACAATGTAAGCAAGAAGGAGCGACTCCGGGAAACATAATTGCTCGAAACAAGCTCGGGAGAAACTATTACAGCAGCTATGATTTTCAATGTGATGAAGATGAAAAGGTGATTAAGGATTTTCCGTGAAAGAAATCAAAGAAGAAGACTTCGTTGACGAAGAAGATGTCATTGATGTACCAAAAATTGCGTGAAAAAAGTAAGAAGTGAAATCTAACTTGTTGTAGGCTTTTTGATACCATGGGAAAAGAAAAAATGCTCTACTTCTCTTATTCCAATTTAAAAAAATAGTTACAGAGTTTTTGTATGAATTTCTCACCATTATACAAGAATTGTATACAAATCTATTTATACTACAGTAAGCAAAAGCAAAGTTTTTTTCTAATTTAACTAGCTAGCTAACTAATATTTAACTATTCAACTAACTGCATAATTAGTTACTTGATAAGGTTGATGTGATAGCCATGTATTTAAAGCTTTTCCTCTATCCTCAAATCCCCTGCATGCCCAAGTTAGACCCAATTGTCACCATCTACTTTGGCACTCGCCCTGCTACCTATATAGCTGACCGTTCCCTCGCTCACAAGGTCTTAATCCAAATGGTGCCATTTTTTCTGACCGCCCACCAACTTCTGCTACTCAAAATATTGTTAGTAGCAATCAGAGAAATGTTAGTCTTCTTAATATGGTCCGACTGCCCGACTGGGCGTCTCCTACGGTATAACTTTACAAAAAAGATGTTGTACCCTTCCTGTGCTAAATCTTCCTCTCATTCGAGCCGGAGGGTGCTACAGATTCTTAAGAATCGCCTCGAGTCCCAGGCTGGATCTGGTCATCCAGTTGGTGTTAGGGATTACTTTCAATATGCCTTGTTTTTTTCTTTTGAGCATAATGTGTTATGGTGACAGTGCTGATGAAATTCAGATAAAACTAATCAAGGAAGTTCAGCAACGAGTGTTTTATAACTCCCATAAGTTTAATATACTCAATTTCTGGCCAAGACTGACAAAGATCGAGCTGTGTAGACGTTGGGAGGAATTCTTGCAGCTCCATAAAAGCCGACAGGATGTATCGATTCCATTGATACGAACAAGAAAGAGGGTGCGAGAGGAGCAAATTAACAAGCAAAAGCACCAAAGAATATGAACAGGTTGTGTCCTATATTGATGCATTATTGGCTCTGGAATTTCCTGACGAGAAACGAGAACTAAATGAGGATGGAAATTGCTCATTTATGCATCAAGTTTCTTATAGCAGGAACTGATACTATTCCAACTGCCTTGGAATGGATCATGGCTAATCTGGGTAAGTACCCACAAATACAAGAAAAGTTATTCATTGAGATTAAAGGGGTTGTGGGAAATGGAAAGGAAGATGTAAAAGAAAGTGATTTAATTGCAAAAGATGAAAGCAGTGATTTTGGAAGGCCTGAGGAGGCACATTTTGTGGCACCGAATGCAGTGGCGCAAGATGTTGTTTTGGATGAATATTTGATACCCAAGAATGCAAGCATCAATTTTATTGTTGCTGACATGGGGTTGGATCCAAAGGTATGGGAGGATCCTATGGCATTCAAGCCTGATAGAATTTTGAATACTGGAAGCCAAGAAATTGATATTACAGGCAGTAGAGAGATTAAAATGATGCCATTTGGTGCAGGGATGATGTTGATTTGGCTAAGAAGTTAGAGCGAGCAGGGGTACGGATAAAGAATCCATTGCAGGTCCGCATATCCCCAGGTTATGTGGTAGTTTAGTTTCGTTTGTGCAATTTCTTATTTATTATTATTTTTTGAACATATCTTTTATGTACGTGGACAATATGCGTAACTTATTTAAGAAGTACGGGTCGTTCTATAGGTCTGCACTACGTCGGTACAATCGATGCCTTTCCATGTCTTTGTCTCTCTCCCAACAAACATGACACGGGAAAAAAAGAAAAAAAGGAAAAACTGAAATGAGGGAAGGGATATGTTTCATACCATCATGGGATTAGTCTCATGTCTCTTCGTTCTTGATATTTTTTTATATCATTGTTTTTTTGCATCCTTCAATTCTTTAAATTTTTTTAATGTAACTTTTCTTATGGTTTTTCAGTTAATTTTTCTAACAAATATGATATGTGATAAAAAAAAATTTAATACGTATGATATTATATTAAACAAAATTGACACATGATAATTAAATAATTAAAAAACAAAAAAATTACCTAAAACTACTCCGGAATCTGGATCGTCTTTCATATTTATAATAAGCACGTATGGATTAATAGAAAGATCAAAACATATGTGGCGCATAAGCATCAATAATTTTTAATTTTTTTGGGAAAAAGTCAATACAATCCTTTAATTTTATGCATGCTTTCATCTTAAATCCTTAGAAATTATGACTAGCCTCACTCCCAACCCAAAAGAATAAAAAAATCCAGAATATCTCTTAATAATTCTAAAGCCTCATGATAATTCTAATATGGCCCTTCTAAGAATTTAGTTCACCTTTTACCATTGATTAAAAGAACACAATTACTCTCTCTTTTACCCGTTCTCTTTGTTAAAAAAAAAAAAAAGCTTTTTTAAGAAAAAGAAAAAAAATTCTTAATTAATTTCTGTAAATAAGTTGAGCATATAAAATTACAAATTCAAACTTACAAGTAAAGTATATTAGAAACAACCCTTGTCCCTTGCTTTAGTGAAAACAATGCCTAGAAATAATATTTAGTCATAATTTTCTTACATGTCCATTTTATGAACAATAGAATACCTTTAATTCTAATGGCAGGGAAAGAGAGAAGTGACAGGAATAAGAGAAATCCGCGAATCAATTGATGCCTTTTTTCTCGGTCACCAGCCTCGTGTTTTGAAATTGGAGAGAGAGAGAGAGAGAGAGAGAGTAGTCCTCTGGTTTAGGAGTAGAACTAGGACCTAGGTGCTAGGTGATGTAAATCTATTAACAAAATCAAAAAGTAACACGTAGGCCCATTTGCCGTATATGTTTGATTTGAATCCATCATATAAGATAAAAATAAAAAATAAAAAAATCAAGTGCAATAATTGGGGATCAAGGACCACTTCGGCAATCAACTTGAACGGAGGAAACAGCCAAGTCAAGCGGTCTAGCAATAAAAAAATTATTTAAGTTTATTTAAAATTAAAGTTTAATTTTTATCATTTTAAATAATTAGTCATAATAATAATGATATGGTATTGGATTTGGATTGATTTAGTTTAAAACATAGTTTCAAAATACCAAAAAAACAAGGCTTGTTTATTTCAAAATACTCATAAAGTAATTAATCACTTTTATTCTATGAATTCAATTTAAAAATGGAAAATTAATCATATTTATTTTATAAAACAACTTTTAAAAAAGATATATAAAAAATAAAAAATCATATGAAAGGCTATCAACAAATAATAAAAAAATTTCTATAAACTAATTTTTTTAAAATTTTCACTTTTTTTGTGCCCATTTCTCCTTTTTTTTTTTTTTTTGTTCCCCTATCTACCATAAATTTTATTTGGTCGAGAGGGAGTAAATTATAAATTAGTCCCTTTTGTTTCGAAAAACCAATCAATTAATTTTATTTTATTTTAAAAACTAATTATTTAGTTATATTTTAAATCTATGATGTAACTTAGTTCTATTTTACTTTTTTCAACTTATTTTGATTTAAAAATATAGAAAAAATAAAAAGATTGATAAAAAAATTATTTTGTGAAATAAAAATAATATTAAATTAAATACGATCAATATTAGTTAGAAAATTAAATAATAATTTTTTTTAAAAAAAATAATTAATTTTTTAAAAAAAAACTAAAAAGACTAATTTATAATATAGTCAGTCCGGAGGTGCAAAAGGTCCTCCTCTGCCACCCGGTCCACCTCTATCGATGTTTAGAAGTATCTCAGTTTTGATTTCAATATATATAGGCATGGTCTAAATATTCTTAGATCAGATAAGATACATATGTCTATAAATCTATTTTATGGGAAAAAAGGTATATCCCTTCTAGAAATTTTGACCAATCTGAATAAGACATTTATTTTTAGTTAATTGAACTTGTTTGGTTATATAATTGTAGTTTGAAAATTGTGAGCTCATAATCTTGTCTTGTTATAAATTTTTCTTCGGCACTTGTTCATCCTAGCCGTTCAAACCACATGTTTCGTGTTACAAGAATAAGAACCTTCGATCCAAGTCCAACCACGACCATTAGTGACGGCATAGGACGGAAACAGCCCTTTTAGATCCCAAAGACGACAAAAACATGGTCGTTTTTACTTTTGAGCGTGCAAATAATTGACTAAATTATGACTTAGTACATGAAAATAATCAATTAATCCTCATGGTTATGGAAATTAAATATTTACTACCTTTATTTTTAAATCTGTTTGATGATAATTCTTTTTAATATTTGGATCAATTCTTTAAATGTGTATGAAAATTAGTAATAAGAGAAAACATTCCCAATGTCTTTAATACACATGATTATTTGCAATTCAATTAAGTAAGAAGTACAAGCGAAATGATTAGACAAATTGATTGGTTAAAGTGATACTTAAAATTCCCAAAATCTGAAGGAACTATGAACTCTCATTATCCAAATCATTCATAAAACAACGTTACTTTAACTCTCTTTATTATTATTATTTTCATTTTATTTAATATCTCAGTACTTTGGAAACAACTACAAGCCCTTCATCAAACACACCACATGTAGTGACAGTAAACAGAAATAGGTCGCTAAAAACCCTAACTTTTGCTTTTCAACCTGCGAGATATGTGGACCTGCAAGGGATTCTTCATTACCATGGTAAGCTCCTGCTTCTCAGACAAATCAATATCATCTCCATCCACAGCCTTCCACTCGAAACTCCAGACCAAATTAGCCACATAATACTCCAAATGAAGCATCGCTAAACCATAACCAGGGCAAATCCTCCTTCCTGCCCCAAATGGCATCATCTTAATCTCTCTGCTTCCTGTTATATCAAATACTTTCCCTTCACTACTCAGAAACCTTTCAGGCTTGAACGCCATGGGATCCTCCCATACCTTTGGATCCCACCCAATATCAGCTACCATGAAATTTACTGTCCCATTTTTAGGAACAACAAATTCACCCAGCACTGTTTCCTCAGTCACAGCATGCGGCAAAACCAAATGTGCAGGAGGGTGCCTCCTTAAACCTTCTAAAATTATTGCTTTTAGATAAGGCATCTTTTGTAAATCATCTTCTTCTACCTCTTCCTCTCCTTCTCTAACAACCTCTTTGATTTCCAGGAATAGCTTCTCTTGAATTTCTGGATACTTTACCAAATTTGCCATGATCCAATGCAAGGCCGTGGCAGTAGTATCCGTGCCTCCATTAAGGAACTCGTTGCACAAACTAACAACTTCAAGCTCATCAAGCTTTCTTTTCTCATCGGGAAGCTGCAAATCCAACAGTGTATCAACATAAGACAAGACATGCTCATCCGTACAGCCCTCCATATTTGATTTACTCAATCTCTCTTCCTTCGACTTCTTTCTTGCTCTTATCAATGGAATCAATACATCTTCTTGGCCTTTACGAAGCTGCAAGAACTCTGCCCATCGTTTACGAAGCACTATCTTGCTCAATCTTGGCCAGATATTAAGTATATTGAATCTTCTTAAATTCACCATCATGCGACGCTCAACTTGTTTGATCTCTCTAATCTGTTTCTCCTCTAATTTGTCACCGAAACACATGAATACTAATAGACAGAACATAGCAAACTGTAGATGATCCACCACACGAACAGGATCTCCAGACTTGGACAACAACTCAAATTGAATCTTCAAGATTTGCAGCACCCATTTACGAGCATGGCCAAACGTCTTAACCCGCGAAGGATGGAGGATTTCTGCTGTGAGGTTTCGACGGAGAAGCCGCCAAGTGGGACCGTAAAATGCAGAGCTGATGTTTTGCTGATTGCAACTAAGCAGTCTGCTTGTAGCAAGAGCAGGTGGGCGGTCACCAAAAACTGCCCCGTTTTGGATCAAGGCTTGGTAAGCAAGGGAACGATCGGCTATAAATATAGAGGGGCGAGAGCCGATGTGGAGGGTGACCACCGGGCCGAGCTTTTGGTTGAGGGAGCGGATGACACGCACCAGCTCAGAGGCGGATTTGGTGAGCCATAAGATGTTGCCAATAACAGGAAAGGTAAGAGGGCCTGGAGGGAGGTTGTGGGTATTGGAAAGAGAAACAAGGTTAAACAGGACTTTAAGGAAGACAGAGAGGGAAAGAGAAAGCAGGATGAGGAGCCAGACCTCCATGATTGCAAAATAAGAGACTCTACTCTGCTGTGGATGAGGGTATTTATTTCTGATTTGTGGGTACTATTCAAGGAGATAGATTTTTTTCATTATATAATTATAAAATATATTAAAATAATTAGAAGACGAAATTATTATGTAAAAAAAAGCTATTAATACAAAAGGGTTCGTTTAATCGAAAAATCTCTGATCATTTACTTATTTAATCATTTAAGTGAATAGTTTTAGTTTTGAATCTTTATATATGCAAATACATCTTACATGTTCGATGAAAAATTGAATAATTAATCTGAGTTTTTAAATTTAAAATATCTTAAAAAAAACTATTAAATACATAATCCTTGGTCTACATTTAAGGAATAAGGATTGCATTTTCTTTTATGCACTTACCTCCATTATTATTTGTGAAAATTAATTAATTAATCCTTTTTTATGAGAAATACTTTATTAATTTTTTGACTCGGTCTTGTGGTTTGATGATAGTGTTTAAGTTCCAAACACATGCAAAAAAGGTTCAATTATTGGTATCACCAAAAGCAGAAGCAATAAATAATGTTTAGTAAATAAATTAGTACTTGTAGTTTTACAAAATAAATTAAATAATCAGTATTAATTATAGTTAATTTAATATTATTTTATTTTAAAAAAAATATCATCAATTTTAATTTTAATTTTTTTACTTTTTCTATTGATTAAAATAAAATAAATCGTAAAATATCGAAAATGATTAAGTTACACATAGATTTATAAATATAGGGACCAATTAATCAGTTATTGAAACTAGATGAATTATTTAATTTCTTTTAAAAAAATAAAGGGACTAATTTATAATTTAATCTTATTATTTTGATTTTTTTCTTTTTAGTTTTAAAATTTATTTTCAAAACCTAATTAATTATTCTGTCACCTAAGCACTAAATCGGCGAACCAATTCTAATAGATGCGAGATGGAACCAATTACAACAGATGCGAGATGGCAAATATTTTTCCCATGGGACAACAAAATCTCAATTTTCTTAAAAGACAAATTTTGAATTTTTTTGTTACATGAAAAGTATTTATTATTGTAGGAACTTTACTATATATCAAAATTTTGAAAGTAAAATGTTTTTATTGTATTTTTTTTCATAATTATTTTAAATTTGATTGTTAATTAACTTAATTATTTTTTATTTACTATCTTAATTTTGAATAGATTTTATTTTTAAATTAATATTGATTTCGTGTAATATATGATCAAAATTGATAATTAATAATTTTAATAAAACAGTATTTAAAAAAATATTGATATAGCATAATAAATTAATAACATTTTTAAACAGTATAAAAAGTTTTTTTTTAAAAAAAGATTCCTTTAGGTCCGAGAGAGAGAGTTTTATTATTTTTTTTTTGGCTCATTATGTTATTTGGTTAAATAGACAGTAAATCATGATTAATGTAGAACATATGAATAGGGTGACATGTGATTAAAAAAATGTTAATTTTGATCTGATTTTTCTTTCTGTAATTGAACAAATTATATATATAATTGACGTTTGTTTATTTTTATTTTTTTTTGTTATTATCATCTTTTTTTGTTTATAATTTGTTTTGCTAAAAAATGTAAATAACGCGTGAACATAAATATACTCTATTTGGGGTATTTATAAATGATGCGTACACATAAATGTAATCGACACTTTTTTTTTTATACTGTTATTTTTTATATAATTTTTTCCATTACCAGAAAAAGATATATCAAAATTAATTTTTTAACACGTGCCACCATACTAGTATGAAATGTGTCTTACACTAACGATGATTTGGTGTCCGCTTAATCCCAGGATATAATGGGTAAAAAATACATAGTATATAACTATTTTACAAACAAAACTAAAAAGATGAAGGAGAGTTACTGTAGTTTTAAAACATAAAATGATTGAAGAAGGAGGTTTCAAATCTAAAAATATTATAAATTATTAAATTTAATTTATTTTTTATATGTATTATAATCAATTTTAAGATTACAAATATGTTTCTTGACCTCATTTCGAAGTTATTAAAGTGTTTTGGAGAAAAAAATAATGCATGGATTTAATTTTGGATTCGAAAATTGTAAAAACCCATTTTTCAACACGAGCTTTCTAGCAAACTCAATTTCGTCGAAAGTTGCAAGTTAAAAACGCATCATCTATTGCCGTCTTTTTTCTTTTCTTTTCTTTTCTTTTTTTCTTTAAATGTAGCCAGCCCAGTCCAACCGAGCTTGTTCCTTAGGCTTGCAGGCATAGAGGTTCAAGCCTGCTCTGCAGGCTCGAGGCGCAGTCCTAGGTTGTTTTTTTTTTTTTTCCCCTTTATTTTATTTTATTTTGAATTTTTATTGATTTTGTGCTAATTTTAAGAAAAAATAATCTTTTTTTCCATATTACCTGTCGATGAAAAAATATAATTTTTTTGATTTGTCATTTCTGGTTTTTTTGTTCTTTCAAAATTTAAGATTATGTGTTCGATTTGCCCTTTTTTATGGAAACATCCAATTGATTTGTTAATTTATTTTTTATATAATTTTATTTGTTAAAAAATAATGATTTATTTTTTCTTGATGTATGGATTTCTAAATCAAAATTTAGAATGTGGATATATATATAATTAAAAATGTATTCTGAATACTTTGTCTTAAATTAAAAAAATATTTTTTTATAATAATCAATTAAATAATAGATTTTATATGTGTTATTTACTTCTTCTTTATGGAATAAAAATTTATCAAAGTCAGTTTTATATTAGTTTTTGTTACAATATTAACTTCATACTAAATAGTAATTTTTATTTTAGTTTATTAACTTCTAATTCATATATATATACTTCTTTTTTATGCAATCAAAATTTATCAAAGTCAATTTTATATTAGTTTTTGTTTCAACCTATTAACTTCCCACTAAATAGTAATTTTTATTTTAGTCTATTAATTTTAAATTCATATATATACCACTAGACACTGCTAACTATAGTCATGATGTAAAACAATAATCAAATCATCGATTTTATTGAAAATTAACAATGCATATACACGCATAAAATCAATAATTTACTATTATTTTTTTCTTTTTGATATTTTAAATTTTATTTTTTAAATAAAATAATTAAAATAATATTTTAAAATAATTACCAACGATTCAAATACATTTTTAAATGTTATATTATTGATTATTTTGTGATTGAATATATATATATATATATATGCTATGAATGACCCAATATCGAATACTAGTAATAATATCAACAAAAGAACGTTCTCCTATGCTTCCAAACATGTGAGCAAAAGGGATTGATTCCGTACAATATGAGATTAGTTAATGAAAATTCACCGAAATTAAAATCTTTGTGAGATCTTCAATATCGTATCGGGGTTTCTTTAAAGTATACCAAATCGGTATAGCTATCCTTCTTCCGATGCAGCAACGCAACTCCAATTAGTATCAAAACGATGCGGACAAAAGTGGTGCATGGCTATCGTCGGCTCGTGTTGTAAGGTGTTAGGTTAAGTCCTACAACATGCGCAACTCTCATGTTTAGTTGCCACCGTTGAGTTTGGAACCCTGAGCAAACTACCGAGTGATAAGCCGGAGGAAGGTAAGGATGACGTCAAGTCATCATGCCCCTTATGCCCTAGGCAACACACGTGCTACAATGATCGGGACAAAGGGTCGCGATCTCATAAGGGTGTTGATTTTATTAAGATTCTCCTTTTCTTCGAAAAGAGGGAAGAAGAAGGATCTTCTTCGATGGATCCCTTTTGTTCCTGTTTAGTCTCCTTCGTTTCGAAAGTTGTTTCTATTTATACATTTGTTTCTTCTCCCCTGTCCTCTCTTTCTTTCATTTTTGAGGCTTCTTTCATTTTCTTAGTAAAAATGGGTGATGGTATTTTTCCTAAAGAGTATACACAAGTAATAAATAAGAGAATACTAAAGATTTGAGCCATCGAATTTCTCAATTCGACACAAGGTACTTATTAGATCAAATGTACTTATTCGATCTAAGAGAATTATTTTGTTGTATGCAAACTAATATCAATTCAACCCATTTCATGAATAAAATGTGACCAATTAACCAACCAACAAAAATAGTTGTTACAAATAACATCTTGTTGTTACATCGAAACATATAAATATTGACTAATCTGACTAACATTGAACTTGGTAAAATAAAATGGTTCAATAATTGAAAAATGAGATTATTCAGGAATAAAAATTGAATGCTAAGATTACGCATTGAATTTTTGGTAGTAGATCCATAATCAAAAAAGTGTTTATGATTGTTCTAGAAGAAATGAAACAAAAGATACGATAGAGATAACATAATTATTGTATGAGGTTTACCCAATGCTAGATGCGAGAGGCACATAATAGATTGATATGAACATCATGAGCTACCTCATAATAAAACTTGTTGTTAATCGATACCTTCTTTTTGGTTCCTTCTTCTCCTTCTTCTATAACCCGAGCTCGGAGAATGAAGAGATAAGAGGGCCTTATGGAGAATGTGATCGAAATCTATAATAGAGTTCGACCAGAATGATTGAATTGATTATCTTCATGCATAAGAATACTAGATTACCTAGTATAAAAGATTTAAAAATCATCACAAACCTCATTTTTTTCTTTTCTATTGCAATTTTCTGGATTATTATATGATGATTTTGAAACTTTTCATATATATAGAAATAGAAACGAAACAAATAGACTAGAATGACATATTTACAACATCTTCTTTATATAAACCAGTTTATTCGTCCTTACCAAATTTAAAGTTCTTTAATTTGGTTGCTAAAAATCGTCCTAATAGAAGTCTTTAGGACAAAATAATAAATGTGACATATGATTGGTCCTATAATCATGGTTACATAGATGTCTTCTATGCAATATCTTTAACATAAGGTATAAGAAGACTGGCGAAATTAACTTATTTTTTTGATAGATGAGTAATTGATGGAATTACCAATAAAGTCGACTTTGCGAGTTTCT